CTTAATTACAATAAGATAGCATATTAAGAGAATAATAATTAATTGAATAATGTATGATAAACCATGCTGAAATTTTGCTAGAAATGCAATAATTATAATTGGGATATAGAGCAGATACGATAGTTACATTATTGTTATTATTACTAAAATAATCGTACGATTCAAACCACGTGTGCATGATTATCAAATGGAAATAACGCTTTAGCACAATCAGTTTAGTCACTTTGCTTTTACGTAATTAATTGTAAGTTCATCCGCAAGCTTATTATCGTATCACTTATGTTATTATATCGCTCTGACGTAAATAACATTATCACAAACTTATGAAAATTCGTTTGCAATATTCACTTGCATGCGATAGTTATAAACATTTGCAAATATTTTTATGCATAATCACGAAAAGTTTATTTGAAATTTGAAATTTTATTATTAAATCAATTTAAAATAAATAAATCATATTATGAATATTATCATAAGCACACAAAAATTTATTTCTAATTATATTTATACACTTTTTTATTAAAAAGATATCGTAAAATTCTAAATATATTTAAAATATAATTCAATATATATTTTTTAGATGATAATCCTGCAAAATATAAGTCACGTTGTAGTTATAAAAATTCAAGTTTAATCTTTTATGTGATAGTTATAAACATTTAGAAATATTTCATAGCGTGCCAATGTTGCGTAAAATCATTCTATGTTTCTTCTCACCGAGATAACATGCGACATTTGCAGTGAAAGACAACGAGCATTTCGAAAAAGAAGACAGTCGCGGCTTCTCTCTCATAAATCGATAAAAAGAGGCGCTCCCATTCCATACGTTAAAGATTTCAAAATATCCAATTAAAAGTTTCTTCTATAAGAAACGCGGAGCTTGTCTCCCGGCGCGATGGAAGCAATATCGCATAAATGGAGATTCCATCGGGTCGGAATTAGAGTCATCCGTATATGAATTAAGAAGACTTGGACTCTCTCCTGACGGCTTAATTTCGCGGAATTACATGAGAAGGGGATGACTTGCTGTATATATGTAATTCATATATATATATATATATATATATATATATATATATACAGCGAATAATATATATATGGTGAATAACATATATATATATATATATATATAT